GCACCAGCTTATTTCACCTGCACCTTAATTTCCCCATTCCCTCAAGCTCACACAAGCTTATACCACCCTAAATGTGTCAGGCCAAACATGTTTGTAATCTTGGAGCTGAAGTACTCGGGTAAGTACCTGAACAGTATGGAAAAATATAATGTGAAGTACACAGCTTTGACCTAGCTGGTGGGAAGCTACCACCCTGTCACACAGGAGAACAGCTACCTCTTTCCAGTGAGGCAAAGGGGTATCCAGAAAGCCATGCAGGAGCTCAGCACTGCGTGCTGGCACCATCCACCACCCAGCAGGCCAGTCACGTCCTGCTCCGGGGGGATCCGAAAGGGTTAGCCAAGGGCAGGTGAGACGCTGCTACAAAGCTCATGCTTGAGCACGTGCTTGTCCGGGGAAAGACAAGAGCGCAGCCGTTTTCCTCTCAGCAACGTTTCCCGCCCACAACATGCCTGACAAACTGCTCAGCCAGTAGGGCCAGCATGAGAAGCTCCATAGGAAAAGAGTATCGCGGCCCTGCAACGCGAGCTCCTCTGTTGGCTTTGAAAGGCCTTGGGAGGCTGGAAATAGGTTAGTGATCCTTCAGCTCTATATGTTTTGAAGAACAAAGAGATGCAACTCAAATGGATTGTGGCTCCTTTACAGCCACACAGGGGCTGGAAGAGAGAGTCTCCCACTTCTCCTGCACAGGCCCGCTCTGAGGCGACGCGATCCCAGTGCCCGGGCCCGTCCGAACCCTGTGGAGCACTGCGGCCTTGGCCAGCAGCAGCGGCACATTGCCCAGCTCCTGCACTGCAGAGACAGGGACACAGCCGCCCCGGCACGCGGCGGGCAAGGCTGCCGAGCCGCAGGGGCACGGACCTGCCCTTCGCCAGGCTGCCGCGCACGGCTGTGCTCTGCTCCGGCGAGCGACAGCCTGAGCTCAAAGGCCGAGCGGACGCAGGACAAGAGCTCCAGCTCAAGAGAGCCTTCCTGAAGGCCGGGCTGCAGCACAGGGCTCGCTGCGGGCAGTGAGAGGAAGGGCTGGATCCTGCCCTGCCCCACTCGGGCCAGAGGGCTCCAGAGGCTCCAAGAGATAGGAAAAGCCACCTGAAGGGAGCCCTGAGTGGGGCTGCTTCTCCACAAGACGAGCGCTCTCAGGAGAGCGGCTGTGCCAGCGTGCTCACCCCGCTTTGCAAACACACAACCCAAAAGTGCACAGAAGTGACCAACTGATGTGGTTTTGGCTGAAGTAGGGGCTGGAAAACAGGGAGACTTTGTTCCTTGCATGATCTGGGTTTGGGAGAAATGGCTGGCAGAGGACTGGTATGTGGGAGTCCAGGGTAAGAAGCTTGAGAATGGCTTTGACTATATGAAAATTAGCCTAAGGGGTGTCCAAAGCTTGCTACAGGATAAGCTCATTGATATCTGGTGGAAGGAAAAAGGCAGCCAAAAGATGCCCCATATACGAGAGCACGAGTGCCCCTATACATGGGCTGCACACAGTCAAGCCCACGAGGCCACAGAAAACCTTGAGCAAGCAGAGCTTCTAAATTACAGTTTTACACTCAATAGATTTTCAAATCAATATGATAAGACCTCAAAATAGGCAATAATACCAAATTCATCTAAGATTGTCATCACCACAGCAGAATACCTGCCTCTGATAGGTCTCTAAACCTCCTGAACTCATGAAACCCATTCTAGATATGCCTGAAGTTTCTACACCTGCTTCTTGCAAGATGCCCTGAAGCAAAAAATACAGAGCTATAAAAATTAGGAACATGCAAGAAGGCAATGCCAGGACATGAACTCTCAAATGACTTAGTACCTGCTCTGGGCCTCATCTATGATGAAAGTTGGCTGCTGCACAGAACTATCTGTACTACCCCTAATAAAACCAGCTGCTTTGGAGTAACTACATTTATCCCTTAGCAAGTAAGTCAGAACGCCACTCTACTACTTTATTTTAACAACAACAAAAAATTGGAGCATCTTCATGCAGCTGGGATGTAAATACAATTAGGAACCTTGCACTTATCTGTAGAGCTACACAAAAAGCATTTTCCATCTGGCACACAACAGTAACCTGGAGAGACTCAGTCTCTCATCTTGTCAGCTTTGTTATTTCAATTAAATGGACTCAATTTTTGCATACATTAAAATAGAGTAGAAACACTGAACTATTACAGTCAGACTAGAAGGGAAAATAGGAATGCAATGTGGTTATATTTTCATGCTAGACTTGATTCAACCTTATGTAAAACTCCCACCAACTTAAGGTAACCAGAACATGGTCTCTGATGATACTGTATTACTCATATAGCCACATGTGATTCCTTTTGGCAGAAGGAAAGCAAAAATCAAGCACATACTAAAATTCTGAATAAAATAGTACTGGGAAGCAAATACTCTGTTTTCACTATAGCCCCTTACAGCCCAAAGGCCACTATGGATTGACAAGTTTTTATACATTGTACCTTGAACTGAGCTTCTGGAGGTCCAGTGATGATAACCATTCTCAGCTTGGCATCTGGTCCTTCAGCAGGGGCAATCTGGAACAGATAAACATAGCTTTTTTTGGAGGAATAGTTTAAAGCCTCCTCCTCCCCATTTCAGTCTCACATTCTGTTCAAGAGTGAAAAATCATTCGCTGCAGTGCTTCAGTCAGGATGAAACTCATGTTCTCCTTAAAGTGCATTAATTAGCTATAATGAAACATGTAGAAATTGGCTAAACCATGAGCCACTTTATTTCTGAAAATTAAAGGCATGGCTACTCTTTTGCAGATGGCAAAACCCCATAGCAATTTTCATGTGGCTACGAACGATGCAAGACACGTAGCTTTCAGAAAACAAGGCTGGTCAATAGACAGAGATTTTTTTTATTCTTATCCATTAACTTAAATAGTCTTTCTAACAAGTTGTGCCCATGAGCCAAAGTTTGCATCTGTCTCCCTGCAAGCAGAAGGTCACTCTACTGTTGTAACTAATCATATCGGAAATATTCGTCCATACTGGATGACAAGTTCGCAGTTTCCAGTGGTTTTGCATTTAGAGACGTTTGTGTGTCTCAAATAAAAATTAAGCTCCACCACAACTGAGACAGAGATGCCTGTAGGGTATCTAGCAGTTCATGTCACCACAAAAGTAAGATTTCTGTGGGTGTTGTTCTCAGACTCCAATGGCATTAAATAATTCAAAGTAGCCTCTGACATTCTGTATGAATCTTTTGTTTATCACAACTGACATTTCCATTGTTGCATCTAGTATTACAGAGCCACTGTTGAATGGGCAATATATTAAACACTACGGGATTTCATCTTAGCTGTTGGCATAGGGATGTTTTTCATATTTAGCAGCTGTAGTTTATTTCAGACAAATTACCAGTCACCATGTATCACTGTCACTAAGGAATTTGGCTAACCAAAGTTCATATAATTATTCATATTGTATCTTAAGATGGAGAACACACTACATACACTAGTTATTTGGTTGGCATATTTATTTTTCTTATGATTTCTGTTTTCCACTTGGCTTTATATATATGGAGACATTCATTTTAAAGCAGTACATTTACTAAAATAACAAAATACAATGTTGTGGTAAGAGCAAGAAAAGACTAAACCCATTCATTATTTGGAACACACAAGTATTTTGAGGTGCAAAACTTCAAGAGCCACTTGCAGGCAGCTGATTGAGCAGAGCTCAGCCTGGTAATTTCCATTCTAGTGTAATGAACCCTGTGATTTGCCTCTGTCTCCTCACCTTTTTCATAGTGAACACCTGCTTCTTTATTGAAAGTTTAGGATAAATATCTTCCATCAAGTCTTCATTGCATCTTTATTTCTTACACAAAGAAGTGTTCTGGGCTGTTTCTTGCTTTGCTTTTATCTTAGCACACCTTGTTCTTTTCTCAACAGCTGGAGTACAGCATAGCTGAGGGCTATGAGAGGAACACGCGCTACCAGCAGCAACCTTTCCATGTCTGATGGGCAATTTAGGAAACCTCAGTGCTAATTTGGCCTGTCTGCCGGGAGAGCGTACACCTCTCCTCTCACACCACAAACAAAGTGGGGAATTTTTAACATACAAGAGGAATACATTTACATTCCTAACTGGAAGACAGCTAGTCTCCGTACTGAGTCACAATCCCACTATTTCATATTCCCCAGACCTGGAGCACACACACACAAAGCAGCTCCTTCCCTGGCAGGAACGGGCAGCGGCTCCAGCCCGGGTGCGAGGTGGGTGCCCAGAGCACAGAGCTCCTTGGCCGGCGCTGGGGCCGTGAGCTGGACAGCACAGCCCTGCACGAGCCCCTGTCCGGCTGCCACTCATTGAGGCTTATTTTACGGCTAACCTAGTTGCATCAGATCGGCAAAGCTCAGCACGAGCGCAGAGAAGAAAGCGGATGGATATAAAACACTTTCATTTGTAGCCATCGTGTATACGACTCCAAACCAGCTCAGCGCCAAGCGGAGGCTTAATTCTCCCACCGTGTGGAAGAAAGCATGCTTACAAGTCTGGCAGAGCGGAAGTTGTTCTAGCAACACTCCCTCCAACTTTTAGCTAAGATGCTGACTCCTGACTAATTCGTTATTTAATATTTTGCTCAAAAGCTACAGTAAAGATTGCTTGAATGACAGGTGGGCAACACCAAGGACCTTTAGCAAGCTGGAACCAACTGTCACTTGAAACATTTGTTCTCCCACAAAAGCAAGAGTGCTGCTTCCTGTTGTTGGGTCAGATTAGAGTTGAAATTACATTTTTATTCTAACTGATATCTGCCAAAATCTGCAGCCTCACCATTTAGCAAGCACGCCCTATATCTGCACACTTCTGTGGAGCTTTAACTCCACTTCCACAAGTCTCTATTACTTTATTCCTGGTGAAGGAGCAGAAGACAAGAGCTTTAGCAAACTTTTAACTGGCTTTCAATTACCATAGACATGTTAAACGTGTTGGGCAGAGGGGTGCCAGCCAGCAGAGGAAGCCTGAGGCCACTGTTAGCCCGATGCGTGAGAAACTCAGGCAACTCCCTTTCCACTGAACTGTCTTCCAAGGCCCAAATACAGGACTAGTTTGGGCTGGTTCTCAGAGGTCCAGGTTACTTCATGTCTCTCTCTCTCCACCATAGCAGTACCTACCATATGCTACCTAGCCTGTAGATATAACCTATGGAATGCTCACCCCTGTACAAGGGCAAGTTGATAAAAGCAAACCTCCCCGCCAAGACCAACACCACGCGCTTCCAACCATTCCTTGCACCAAGTTTCTCATACCAGTGCTCTACAAATGTAAGCCATCCGTGCTGGGCAACTCCGTTATTTAATGCAGCGCTTAATAAAGGATGGATTTGGGCAGCAGGCCAGCTGGTTTACTGGCCAGCAAATCGATGGGCGTTCAGCAAAGCCCACGCCAGGCTTGTTCATGAGGGAGCCCCGTGTAACGTGCAGCGCGCTGCAAGGTGAAGCCCTTCCAGAACAAGGCGGCTGCAGCGCACGCTGCCGCGGCCCTGCTGCCCCCGAGCGTCTCTGCTCCACAGCACCCACCAGGGAGGCTCCGGGCGTTACTTTCTGGTACCTCTACAGGTACTAGGAAGCTGAGGATAAGCTAAAAGAGAACTGAAAAGATGACATCTGCATCGCTTGGGCATATAACAAACATTATTGGTAATTTGAGGCAAAACAGTGTCTTAACAGCACGGAATAGCAGAGGCAGCTATTCGCAAGGCCCTGGCAAGGGAAGGCAGCCCTCCTTCCTTGCACCTACCGTGGTGTTCCCAGCGGGAAGCCAAGGCCTTCCTGCAGGCAAGGGGGCAGCCGTGCTGGTTAGTCCCTACACACAGCACAGGGCAAATTCACCGAGGAGGCCTGAATTTGAACTTGTCCCTCTGTTAGTTCAACTGCTGCAAACCACCTTATTCTCATCGGTGCTGAACTAGGTGGTCAACACACAAACAGCTAGACAGGCCTTTGGGTGCTACTCCATGGTCGAAGAACAGATCAACTCAGGGACTGAGAATACACGCGTGGTTATACAAAGTACTTCAGAGCAGAGCCAGCAGATCTTAATATCTCAAACTCTCCAGTTTGAAACAGAGCAAGACAGATCCCAGTAGTAAAGACTTTGCCTGGCGTTTGTTTTTAAAAGGGGAATTTGCCTAGCCAATTTTCACTTTACCAAAAGCAAGAAGAAAGCCTTTACATGCTGCTTCATTAAGACTTAAGTCTGTTTCTAAGAAATTGGGACCACCAAAGTAGTTTTCTTTGCAGCTTATATTTCACACCTCGGGAGACGTTTGAAAACATGCTTCTATAATTATCTTGTCTCAAGGAAGATGAAAAAATGATTTATAAACAAATGTACCATTTATCACATCACATTCTAAGCGGAGAGAGGGGGAGGACGTTCACGAAAATCCTGCTTGTGCAAACTTGCTGAGAGCGTCATATAAAATAGACAGAAAGTTAGTCAGTGTAATAATACCTTAATAGATGCGCCTGCAAAACGAGAAAGTTGTTTGATGTGCTGTCCCTGCTTGCCAATAATAGCTCCAACTGCCAAGGCTGGGATGAACAGATGAACAGTCTCAGACTCGGGCTGTTGCTGTGGGGAAGAAGGAAATATGCAGTGAATGTTTTTGAACATTATGAATCAGACTGACAGGAAAACTGGTATGGAACAAGCATGCATGGAAATGAGGGAGGATTCTTAGGATGCCCTGTTAAGTCCAAATGTTAAAGGTCTGGCTTTTTTTTCTGAAAAATCATGAAATTCACAGAAAAATGAAAGGACAATTCAAGCCAAAAGAGGATTCTTTTATCTTTTGTAAAATAGTTGCAATTTTAATGCAGAGAGTTTAAAAGCAATTGAGCTGTTGCTTCTTCAAGACGAATTCATTCTTACCTGACACTACCTCGATGCTTTTCCGCATACAAGACTCATCAGATGAGACTGCTGCAAGTGAAGGGGCTACAGCTTAAGTACACAAACTATCTCCAGCTTCCCTAGTTACTTTTCAATAGCAGCTGGTGCGAGAGCTTCGCAGAAAGCATAGATTGGAGTTGCATAGATGTTACCATTTCCCCTGTGTGGGAGTGATCTGGAATGATAGCCAGCTTGACTATTGCCAGCGATTCCTCTTGGGTAATATTATGTAACAGTTGGATCCTTGGCAGCAGGCCCGAAACAGGCTAGTAAATGAAATGTGGGATTAAGATTTTTTAAAAGTAAGAGGACCCTGATGTTGAGCCCAGTGGATATCAGGCATTACTGCAGTTTTCCACTACCCTGGACCAGACAGCCCTGCTGGAGGATGCAGCACAGTGCCTAAGGTGCTCCCGACGTGCAGCTCCTCACACCCAGACACACATCAACGTTCTGCCGGCCTCAGGAGGGGCTTCCGAAGAGCTTGGCTTGGACTAGCGGAGCACGCCGTGCACCAACCTACCATTAACCCTCTTACACCAAAATCACTTCTCAGAGCATTTCACACAAGCCCTTCTCTTAGGGCTAGAAGGCTCTTAAGACCCTCTTTAAAGCCCTCTTCCCTCTCTACAGTTATGTTTATGTACTTTCAAAATGTATTTCATTCATCCTCAGCAGTACAAGGCCAACAAACGCTTTTCCCACAAAGGCATCGCCAAAAGCACGGGAGTACAGTCACTGCATCCGCGCCAGCCGAGCAGCGCGTACCAGGGAGTACCACTGAGCAGAGCACAGGAAATCACTGTACACATTTAGCTTTGTTCTCTGGTGTATTTTGGTAGGGATGCAGGCCCACATACGCTCAGAGGCAGCTTTTCCTGAGATATTTTTGAAATGACATGCTATATGCAACACGCACACCAAAAAGCAGCTGGAGACCTTAAAAAGCCATCTCAGCTTATTTTTAAATTTCAGCAATTGCTTTCAAGGGGAAGCAAAGTCCCAGGGCATTAAGCATCAACAAATCAAAACAAAATGCTCGTTTCCAAGTTTTACCACTATATTTTTGGTAAACCTGAAGACAACTGTAACCTCAGGGGAGAAAATTCCAGGCACGGATCCACGCACCAGGTAAAGAAATCCCGAAATAGGATATTTAGAATAGAAACACATTGTGACAGTTGCTTTAGGCGATCACCACAGTCACACAGTTTACCCAGCACACAAGGCAATGGCACATTTGGTGAGTTTCGGCTGATTCAAGCCCACATTTTCCTTGCACACGGGTCCCGGCGCCCCAGCACCCGGCATTCCCACCGTTCTGCGCACCCACGGAGCTGCGACCCCGGCCAGTTTTCCACGCAGGGAGCAGGTGCCTGACCTGCCCCACGGCAGGGCCAGGCCAGCGGCAGCCCTGCAGCAAGGTGGAGAGCGAGAGCAATTAGACCCGGCTCCGGGAAGAGGTGGGAGCACCGCGTTTAATCTGCCTGCCGATCAGCTTGAAGTGATCTCAAAACTACGCCCTGAAACTGCATGTTCGCTGGGAGAGATACTAGGCACTGCAGTAGATGTGCGAAACTGCCTTCCAGAAGATTACTCATTTTCTCCTCTTATTTTTCACCAACACCCTAAGAGGGTACTTACAGTAAGTCCCTGCACACTTCCGTTGTCAATCCAACAGTATTTCCAGCTATTTGGAAACATTATTGAAGATGCGCTGTGATCTTATCACTTGTGAGAACTGCTTCTGAGCGGATACTAATCCGGGAGACGTTTCCCGTTCCAGTTTTGCTGCAAGGAGCCACGTGGAACGCTGCTGCCGTTGGCTTCTCCCCACGCACGGCCTCAGCCGAGCTCCCCCAGCCCAGCTTGGGGTTAATCCTTACAACGCTGCTACAGATCAACCACGTAACTTGACTCTGTTTTCAAGAGCTTACACAGCTTCTACCCAAACCACCTCCAGACACGCTTCTCTACCCTGCAGCTGAACCAAGCCTCATTACTTTTGTTTGCAGATATTTCCTGCCTTCCCTCTGGTGCCCATCTGCCTCGCAGCACTGTTTTTCCTTCTCTTTCCCAAAGCCCAGTTTCAAGCCGCCTTCTTGGCAGATTCAGCTCACCACTGAAATTCCTTTCTGCTGCTTCACCCATTACACATGAAACATGGGCAACGCAGGCAATGAAAGGCAGAAGACGAACACGCGTCTTCCCGAGCGTAGTCAGCTCACTGTCATCCCTCTCCCTCCTCAGGATTCTCACTTGTTGATGCATTAGAGATCCCTTCCAATCTCATCCATTCTGTGATTTCTCCTCTTCCTTCTCAGGATTCTCACTTGTTGATACATTAGAGATCCCTTCCAACCTCATCCATTCTGTGATTCTGTGATTAAGACTTAAAAGAAACAAAACAAAGCCAATATTTTTTGTTTGAATGAGTCGCCTTAAGGTTTAAGTTCCCCAGTGGTGTAGTAGTGACACTCGTTATCACCAGGGTACAGAGGAGAAGCTGTCAATACTGAACTGAGCATCCGCTGCCATTGCTCAAGTTTTTGCCTGCAGCAGTGTACTGGCACTAGAATACAAGCAAATCCATCTCCAGGTAGACCCAGCAAAGAATTTAGGAGTAGCATATCCATTTCCTTACTCACACTGGTTTTAACTACTCAAAATAGCATAGCTTGATTTGTCTTCAAGCATGAACATCAAGATGACGGGTCTTGGCAGTAACTGTGTACGACAAAGACTTTCAAGAGAATATCATAACACCAATGTAATTTATTATTTGCCTACCTCCTAACCCATAACAACTTTTAAAGTATCATTTGTGATTTAGTGGAAGACCCTCCTCAGAGTCAAAGCAAACTCCAAAAAAACACAAAGTGTGATGCAATGCTTACACCACCATCCGTCTCACAGAAGCTTCTGGAGTTCTCAGGAGGCAAACAAAAAAAATCCACTTTAACTTCATTTGCTCTACGCCATGCCCCATAAGTCATATAGTTTTCCAGGAACTTATAGGATGAGTTATGTCAGAAATAGATTCCCAGATCTTAAATATGCATTAAAAGCAGTGAATTTAGGTAAAATTTTACAATTGCACAGAATTTAAGATTAGTAAGGTCAAATGAAGCTTGCTTAAACATATACTTCAACACAAAAACGAAAAGAATAAAGCCTTGGAGAAAGTATCTGTCCATATGGACTGCAAAGAATATCCTATAGTTCAATCCATTCATAGTCCCCTTTTCAAAATAGGAATGATATTAAAGAAATTGTTTCAAGCCTACCTGGAGAGGGAGAAAGATGCATAACTGAGTTGAATTTATTGAGCTTCATGACAATATATAGCAGTACCAGATAGGTTCACTAATAAAGTAAAGTTACCATTTATAGTAAAGTTACCATTTCATCCTGTTCATGACCCCCTTGGAGGATGAATCAGTTTTAACCTTAAAAGACAAAATTTACTTTTGTCTTAAAGATGGTTAACTTAATGCGGAACTTTATCATTATGATTACTTTTAAGGCCTTAGCAATAGTCATAATTTTAAGTATTTCTCTGTTTAAATAGCATGCAATCATTAATCAAGCTTTAAAGTTCATTAAATCATGGAACAGGAAGTAGTAGCTCATCTACCAGTTTTTGACAATGCAAAGTCTCCTGTCCCTGGAGAATTCCTTGCACTCTACTTTTCTTCCCCATCCAGTTTATTTCTCCTCAAATAACAAAATCATTTGTTCAAGGTAAGATCACCTTGGGAGCTGAAAGAGCAGGGAAAAAAAACTTTTAAATTTGGAGAAATGGAGAAACCCGTTTCTCCGAGGTGTATGGTCCATTTATTCATCCAAGCTTGGAGAAGCCGCTATCACAGACACGCGAGACGGAAGACCTTTTGTGCAACGTTTGCCCAAAGTGTTCAGAACCCTCCTCCAAAGTCTGAGGTCTTGCTGCTAATTCTGAGGGCCTGCAGCACCAGCGCAGGGTTTTTTCTCCCTCTACTGCACTTGACCAGGTACTCTCTTGAGGTATCACCGTTTTTTTCTGACTTTACTAAGGACTTCCCTGACGACTGCTGAGGCCAAAGCACGTGAACTTACCCGCTGCCAAACAAGCGACTCTTGCATGTTGATATAAAATACCCTAGCGATGGGTTGGTCATCACTTGCCTCAAAGCGTGAAGGTACCTGTGGAGATGCTGGATGGCGGCTTATCAGATGAGTTCTGCAAAGGCTCCCTGAAGCCTTAAGTCTTGGGGGCATGGTGAAGCCTTAAACACATGGCCCCCAAGAACAACCAGACAGGAAAAACCACCCCCACAAACCACCCTCCAGGCAGGGGTCCACAAAGCCCAAGGCACCTGTCTCAGGCACAACGGTCCAACAGCCCTGTCATGAGGTGCAGTGTCCAAAAAGCCATACTGGAAGCCAGGAAGGTGCATGAAAGAAAACTTGTTGTTTTCTCTCTAGCCTTTAAGTCCAACTAAGATAAAGCAAGTTGAGAAAAGGGGGAAAAAAAAAAAAGGGATGATGAGCTTTGCCTTTTCAGACTACTGGGCAAAGCCAAGCAGCAGATTGAAGAACCTGTGGAGTCTGGGTTGACCTACATGTTTCTGGGTGCTGGGACAGGAGCCTGAGGAACAAGGGTTTGGGGAAAAGAGGTTTTAGCTTTAGATCACAGG